CCGAATTAATAACAAGCGTATTAACCGATTGATTCTAGTAATAATTAATATATGAAACAAAACTAGTTGATCCTTTAAGTAATGTTCAAAATATTAATATGAAATATGAATAGGAATTAATTAATACTCAAGAAAGAATATTAAAGAAGATGAATCCTACTATAGTTAATATCAAGATGTTAACTAATTGTCATCTTAGTAACACTCCCCAATATTAACATAGAGGAAGAAATAACTATTACTATAAATAATGTCAAGATGTTAACTAATTGTCATCTTAGTAACACTCCCCAACATTGGTATAGAAATAGTATTTAAAGGAAGAATTAATATTCAAGGAAGAAGATTAAAGAGAATAACTCACAACTTACAAATTCATTAAGCTTCAAAGTAGCAAAACCAAGATGGAAGAGTTTAGCTCCTCATTTGGAGACTAAACATGCTATAAAAATATAAAAGAAATACTATTCTAAACTGAGCTTAAGAGTATGGAAGAAGGGATTGTTTTAATGTGAAGGAAAGGGGGTGTATTTATAGCAAAATGGAGGTGACAGGGTTCTGTACTCGATCCAGTATTGGGGATACTGGACCGAGTATGAGAGGAAATTTCCAGGAAATTGTGAAAAATAGGCATACTCGACCGAGTATTGCCAATACTCGACCGAGTATGCGACAAGATTTTCATCAAATATTCAACCACGTTCTTTTGCTCCCAGATTTGATTTTGATCAGCGTATCAGGCCAATACTCGACCGAGTATTGGAAATACTCGACCGAGTATTGGCAATACTCGGTCGAGTATTGGCAATACTCGACCGAGTATTGAACAAATTTCAAAATCTTGATTTGATCTTCTCCTTTTTGCACATTCTTTGGTCTTTAGGATCCATCCTTTGATTCTTGGGATGATTTTAACTTGTCCTAAGCTCAATATAATCCTAATCTAAATCAATTACAAATAATTAATGAAAATAAAGTATTACACCAAAAGTGTGTAACATCTACAACTAGAACTAATAAAACTAGTTAAAAATACAAACATACATAATAGGAAATTCACCCTATCAGTGGTTAATAAGGTAATGACTTCATTAACCCCATTTCTTCTCCTTAACCATATTTTATCCTCCTAGGATAGTTCTACACGTTCAAGAGTGTGGAGTGGGGTTTGAAAGGAAGTTCTAAGTCCAAGAACGGGCTTAGAGAACAAAGTAGACCCGAGTTTGTTGGAAAATAACCTTTTAGAGGTTATTTGTGTTGATATGGGTTTTATGATGATAAAACCTTGTTATTAACTTGTGTAAGGTATTTCAAGAACTTTCACGGAGATTGAAGGAGTCGCCGGAGTTGTCGCCGGAGTTCGTTGAAGTTCACCGGAGCTTCGCCGGAGCTCAATAAGAAAGGATAGAACTCCATAAACTTCATTAAGGTGAGAAGACGGCTATATGCTTTATAACTTTTGTGTGAGGCATGATATTACCTAAATTAATCAAGAATATGTTTTATGAATTGATTAATGGTATTAAAGTTTGTGCTATGTCATGTTAAAGAATATAACATAGTTGGAAAACATGATTTGTAGGTTTGATTAGTGAAATTATTATAAATTGATATGTATGATGTTCCAAGGACCCAAATAGGTATTTTTGGATTAAGGACGTCAAGGAGTACATACAGGTAAAATTTCACGTTAATTGGACTCCGTTTGGGCGGTTAAACGGGCGTTGACCGCCAAGTCAACTGTTATACCCTGACCGGGCATTGGCAAATACCCAACCGGGTATTTACTGAAATTTGCCCCAGGGGCTACTGCCTCCTATACCCGACCGGGTATAGGTAGGTACTCGACCGGGTATTGGGTTTTACACCCAAACAGTCAGTTTTGAATGAGTATAACGTGGGGCGTTCGGGTGAGAACCGTCCACGTTGATTACTAGGGATTATTATATGACTATAGGGCTAGATATTGTCCATAGTTAAAGGATTGAAAGGTTAGCCATATCCAGGTTAGGGTTTGGTAAGGAATAAGGTTGGAGTTGAGTATCCCCGGGACGGTAAATGATCCTGAAACTCGGTTGGGGTTGAGTATCCTCAGGACGGTAAATGATCCTGAAACTCGGTTGGGGTTGAGCATCCCCGGGACGGTAAATGATCCTAAAACTCGGTTGGGGTTGAGCATCCACAGGACGGTAAATGATACTGAAACTCGGTCGGGGTTGAGCATCCCCGGGACGGTAAATGATCCCAAAACTTGGTAGGATATTACGAATGTAGAACGTTGCTTGTGAGTTAGGCATTCGGGAATGGATGGGAAAGGTCGGGTAAGTACCTTGTCTCTAAAAGACTCTTTAAACGGAAAAGACCTACAGGTCCAATATTTTATAAGTATATACAGTATGTATCATTTTGTAGATGGGGTAACAATGGTTACATTTATACATATATGTATCACCCTATTTTTGGGTCTCGTGTCTGAAACATTAGTTATTCCTCATATAGCCTGCTTGTCACTAGTACTTTCTATGGAGTACTGACCCCTTCAGAGGGCTCACATTTTTCAGGTTAAAGCTAGAGTCCTGCTACCTACACCTTTGCATAGGGTGGTAATCAGATAAGGGAGATGTGGTTCGTGCTTCCATTCTTATTTAAAATTATGGATTTGCTCATGGATATTTAAACAATGTTCTTCCTATTAAACTATTAAAGGGCCTGCACGCCCATGATTGCCACGTGTGGCTAATTATCAAACATATTTTATTTCCGCATTTGTTTGAATAATATATGTTGATGTTGATTGTATGAGTTTACTAATCGGTTTGGCGATAGAATCTATCAGACGCCTTGTATGATTTAATAAGAATGAACTACGTTGTTCTTATTGGGTTGTACGGCGGTTGTCTACGTGGCATGGATGCGATCCGGGACGTGACATGAAGGACGATGTACTTTCCTGAATCGTCCCCTGAAGCAAAGATATGATACTGGCAGCATCAATTTCCACCTGAAATCCGTCTAGCCCCATCTCCATCGCCATATCAGCAGCATAAATCAGGACTTGAAGTTTGGCTTCCTCGCTCGACTCAGCCTGAACTTTGAAGCAAGAAGCCCATATCATCTCCCTACTAGTGTTTTGGTGTTTCCATGTTTTTCTCCTCTTTGGTAGGAATTGACCTAGTCTCCCTACTAGTGTTTTCGTGTTTTCATGTTTCCATATTAGTGCTACATAGCTTCAACAACGATGGTTGTCACAGCAACAACAACGAAAATCGTTGTATGACCAGTGCCGACTAATGCACAAAGATAGTGGTAGAGCGATGTGGTAATTTGAAACGTGAGGACAATATTCTCTCTTCATTTAATTTTTATTCTTATATTTAGGTAAAAAGTTAATTTCCATCATTTGCATTGGAGCCTAAGATTCATTATTTTTTGGCTTGAGAATATGATGGAATAAAGCAAAGTGCCTCACTAAACTGTATGCGTTTCTTTGTTATAAAGCAGCAGTCAATCCATGCACTTTTGGACGCGATTTTCACTATGGGTCATCCGGAAACAGTCTCTTTGTGCTTTAGTACAGGGGTAAGACTGCGTACATCCGACCCCCCTTACCCCACCGTAGGTAAAAAGTTAGGTAAAAAGTGAAATAAGTGAGACATATTTCACCAATGGAAAAAGCCTTTTATACACACCATTTGTGCACCTTTTTATACACTTCTAGGTAGTTATTTGTTTATACAAACAATTTGTTAACATAAAGTACGCATGAGCAACTCGGTTGGTGATATGAGTGAACTTTGGAACAAGCGACTCAGGATCGAATCCCGCAAATGGCAGTGTGAGAATAACCTCTCAATGTTAGGAGGATGTGTACACAATGAGCATTGATCTAACTTCTATACTCAGTTGAGTCTCCATGACTTACATTTCCTCTCTATGTGGTCAAATTCTAATAGGGGTGGGCACAGTCCAGTCCGGTCCAATATTTTGTCGAACCCGTACCCATACCGTGATTACTTAAAACCGTTCGGTATGATTCCATTTTCAAACGGAACGGTACCATGTGATACCAATATCAAACAATGCATTTTTTGAAGTGTGTAAGGGGAAAAAATTAAAATTTAGTCATTCTCCAAAAATCCACACAATTTATCAATTTTCATATTACACACTATCTCCATTCCAAGTTGATTTGCAAAGTCAACTTTTTTTGGTCAAACTATTTATTTTTGACTCACTTAATTAGGATATCACTTTTTAATTATATTCTATTTTGTCCTTTAAAAAAATATATTCTAATTTGAATTTTGCAACTTTAAAGAGATTTTATTGTAGTTTCTAAATATGTAAACTTTACTTATTATTAAAAATTGTATTAATTATCAATAGGGAATACTTAACATTAACATTGGTCGACCAAAAAATTCACTTGCAAATCAATTAGGAACGAATGGAGTAATTAATAAATTTCAGATAAACTATAGTAGTACAATTTTAAATAATTAAACCATACTTCGGTCTGGTTCGGTATGGTGCCGGTTTTCATTTTATGAGAACCCGTCATGACACTGTTTGGAACCGATACGGTCCGGGACAAAAAATTTAAAATGCGTTTCAAACTCCGTTTATTGGCCCATTACCATATCGGTCCAACTTGGTACCGTGCCTGTTGGGTATTTTTGTCCACCCCTAGATTCTAACCTTTTGGAACAGGTTTATTAAAAAAAGTAGAACTAAACTACTAAAGTGCACACAGATAATTCCCACATCAATCCAGCTTGAGTTACACACTTTTCATACTTACACGTACACACTCGTGTCTGTGAAAGATTTTTTTATACAAACACAAAAAATCTTTTATAGACACGAGTGTCTATAAAAGGGTGTAAAAATACATTTTTTCTTCCCACATATACATGGTGAGAACGTGTCCACCATACGCTTAAATAATTGCCCACTCTTTTATTCTTATCCAACTCACTATTTTTCCCACTCTGTGAAAGGAAACAGTGCCGTTGAAATTGAAAGAATGCGCCACTCCTCTACCGAGTAAACGATCTCTTTCTCTGCCCACCTACTTTTTCGGGGAAGCGCACTCTCCGCGTCCGATTATCCGGCGGCTTATAGCGTCAGGACAATCCTCTAATTTTGTCAGGACAATTCTCTCTCAAGTTTCAACCGGTGATCTTTTTTCTTGTTTTTTTTTTCAACTGCGCGTTTCAACTTAGAATCAACTGACCGCCAATCCTGCCGTTTCTTCTCGTTCAACCCTCAAGAGATCGAGTTTTCCCAACTTGAATCCATCTATCCACTGTGAATATCTGCAAAAAGTCCAAGTCTTTTTGTCCTCTTCTGTGAGAAGCTCACCCTGGGCTGTTGCGAAATCCTAATCCAGATGGGTAATCGTACAAGCAGAAGCAGTCATGCTGCTGAATCACAGACCAACGTGAACCACAGGTCAACTCATCAGACTCACATTGCGCACCCAGAAGCTCGATTCCCTTCACGGCCACCGCCGCCGACCAGGAAACTGGTACCTAAGTCCGATTCCATTCTCGGTAAGCCTTATGAAGATGTTAGGTCACATTACACTCTGGGCAAACAACTGGGTAAGGGTCAATTCGGCGTTACGTATCTCTGCACCGAGATTAGAACTGGTCAACAGTATGCTTGCAAGTCAATTTCCAAGAAAAAGCTTGTGACCAAGGGCGATAAGGATGACATGAGGAGGGAGATTAAGATTATGCAGCATTTGATGGGTCAACCTAATATTGTTGAGTTCAAAGGGGCTTATGAGGATAGCAATTCAGTGCATCTTGTGATGGAGCTGTGTGCTGGTGGGGAGCTTTTCGACAGGATCATAGCTAAGGGGCATTACAGTGAACGGGCGGCTGCCTCTATTTGTAGGTCGATAGTGAATGTTGTCCATACTTGCCATTTTATGGGTGTGATGCACAGAGATTTGAAGCCTGAAAACTTCTTGTTGTCTGATAAAAGCCAAAACGCCGTCCTGAAGGCTACTGATTTTGGCCTATCGGTGTTCATTGAAGAAGGTCAGTTGCGCAATAATAATTGTGCCTTTGCTAGCTAATAAATATCTTTCCATTATAACTATTTTTTTGTGTGTGCATTTGTAATGATACCACCTGTTTAGATTTTTCCAGTAAGTTAAAGAGTGAGATTTAACTCTAAAGAGGGAGGGTTTCAGCCCCAAAAATGTGAACTGAACTACCGTGCCAACATATGTCAAGCCCCGCCTGCACTTGCATATGAGCTAAACTGATCCGAAAAAATATACCCACCTTATAAAGCACTTTACTCATAATAAGTTAGGATGGAAACCTAATTTGTAATAACGTTGTTTGGCTTAGTTCAAACAATATACCCTCCTCTTTAAAGTCATACTCTCATCTATAATTTTTGACCAATTTAATCTATGTCTGTCTAGGTCGTCCCATCCCTGTCCTCCCTCCCTCTCCTCCCTCTCTCACATTTTATCTTCAATAATTCTCCAACACAACATATGCATCTCATGAACATTCATCTTTTGAATGCTACATTGTTTCACCGCCCAACACTCTATGCCACACAATAATGCATGTCTCATTGTCATTCGATATGACTTATCTTACAGTCTAGCTGACATACCTTGATCACAAAAATCCTAATACACTCTTCCATTTTAACCACCATGTCTTGATTGTTTGAGATACATCTTCATCTAATTTATAGTCCTTTTGAATTATGGAGCTCATAAACGAACCGTATCACTAACCGTGATCTCTTTAACATTCAAGGTAAACCCACTTTTATCACTGTTTCTATTCACTAAACTTGCAGTCTTGCACTCCATGTATTCAGTCTTGCTTCGACTCGGCTTAAAACACTTGACCTTCAGGGTTTGTCGTCATAATTCCAACTTCACTTTAACAATTGATCTTGTCTCATCAATCAACATAATATTATAGGAAAACATTATGCACCATGATATATCTTCTTGAACTGGCTTCGTAGCTCATCCATGACCATGACAAATAAGAAAAGACTCGGGCGACCCTTGGTTCACTCCGATAGTACACGTACTTGCACTACAATCATTATACAAAGACTTTTTAGTTATTTGATCTTGATATACTTACGTGATATGTCTTTTCTTGTTAATGCCCATTCCCACCAAAGGACTTCTGGAGTACTTCTCAGCCCCTTTTTTCTAAGTCAATGAACACCAAATGTCGAACCTTTTTTGTATCTCTATGCTTCTCCATGAGTTTCTCAATGAGGTGAACAATATTTAGAAAAGGTAGTTCGGGTGTCAAGGCGATTTTCTTCTTCCCGTTTATTATTTCATTTTCATTTTTATATATTTTTTCAGATTAGTTTCCTTATTAAAGATCTTTTTCTCACCGTACTAACTTTTTACGTGATTTTCTTTTTACTCACACTTATTTTTTTCCTTTCTTACCTTTATTCCACAACTAATATATTTTTGATAAAATAGCAACAACATTCGGCTAACGTAAATCGATCTATAATATCTGAGCTAAAAAGAGAAGAAATAGAAGAAGAATAAAAGGATGAAGTAAGATAAAATGGATAAGGTAATGATAATATAAGATAAAAATAACATAAGAACATAAGAAAAAGATAAAAGATAAAAAATATGACAAATTGGTCGGGATGATAACCAGTGACTTTTTCTATTCTTGGAACTCAATCACTAAGGCAGGCTGCTTTCCGAGTCTCCCCATTTCTGTATTTCAAAAAATGAGGGAAAAAATATAAAAATAACACAAGAACATAGAAAGATAAAAAAGATAAAAGATACTCCCTCCGTCCCACTAACAATGGTACAAGAGGAAGTGACACACATAAAGTAAGAATAAAATAAGAATGATTTAAAACCACACAAACTTTACTAAATTTGGTTTGAGACAATTTTAGTGGAATGGGTTGAAAAGGAATATTGGGACAGTCTTACCGCGACGGAGGGAGTAAAAGAAAATGAGAGTAAAGAGAGAAAAGAGATTAATTAACCACATGAATATGCGTTCTTCACTTTGCTCTCTCCAAACTCCAAAGCCATGCTCTCATTTAACCCAAGAAGAAACATATCAGTTCTGTTTCCTCTAATCCAAGTCTGTTTGGGACTTTGGGTCTTCCTCTCCCCCTTCGTCTTCTCCCCACCTCTCAAGCCGTTTAACAAGTGCATTACTCGGTCTTCTGCGTACATGACCAAACCAATGCAATCGAGACTCTCGCACCTTATCTTCTATAGGTGCCACCCTCACCTTTTGCCCGATTTTCTCATTTCTAAAGCATTCTTGTCTGGTATGTCCATACATCCAACGTAACATACGCATCTCTATCACACTCATCTTTTGAATGTGACATTGTTTCACCATCCAACACTCCGCATCATACATTAATGTAGGCCTAATAGTTTTCCCATAAAATTTACCCTTTAGTCTAGTCGACATACCTCAATCACGTAGAAATCATCATGCACTCTTCCATTTCATCCATCGTGCTCTAAGTCTATGGGATACATCTCCAACTATTTCACGATCCTTCTGAATTATGGAGCCCAAGTAACGAAACATATCACACACCGGTATCTCCTTGCCATCAAGGGTAATCCCACAGTTACTACTACTTCTACCTCTACCAAACTTGCACTCTATATACTCATCCTTGCTTTGGCTCAGTCTGAAACCCATGGCTCCAATGTTCGTCGCCACACCTCCAACTTTGCTTTAACGCCTGATTATGTCTCATCAATCAATACAATATTGTCGTCAAACATCATGCACCATGATATATTTTCTTGAATTGACTTCGTAAGTTCATCCATGACTATAACAAATAAGAAAGGACTCATAACGGATCTTTGGTGCACTTCGATGGTGATAGGGAACTCTTGAGTCCTCCCCACACTAGTACGGACAATTGTAGTACAAGCCTCATACATATCCATGATGATATTGATGTACTTAAGTGATATGCCTTTTCTAGTTAAGGCCCGTCAAAGGACTTCTCAAGGTACCTTATCATATGCCTTTTCTAAGTCAATGAACACCTAATGTATATCCTTTTTAGTGTCTCTATACTTCTCCACAACTTATTTAAGAAGGTGAATGACCTCATTTGTTGAGCGTCCAGAACTCTAGGCATAAAACCAATAGGTAAAGCTTAACTTAAATAATTAAACTAACAATAAACAACTAAAGAAATGCACAATTACAAATCCAAAAAGTCTCAAACACAATCACAAATATGAAAAGAAACCATTCATCATCAGATGACAAATCATTAACTTTACAATTTTCCTCATCATTGGTTAGTAATCTTAACTTAAGGTGTCTATCTTTCAATCTCTTATAAAACCTTGACTAGTTCTAGGAAAACATGACCAACAACTCAGTAGAGAAGAAGTGAAGGAGAGAAGATCATCATCATCATTATCCCAGTGCCGCAAAGGCTCCCATCTATGGTGGGGTAAGGGGGGGTCGGATGCACACAGCCTTACCCCTGTACTAAAGCACAGAGAGACTGCTTCCGGATGACTCATAGTAAAATCACATCAAAAATTGCATGGATTGACGGTTTCTTCATAACAAAGAAGCGCAGACAGTTTGGTGAGTCATTTTGCTTTATTCCATCATACTCCCAAGCCAAAATATAGTGAGTCTTTGGCTCCATTGCAAATGATGAAAAATTGAAGGAGAGAAGATGAAGAAGGAAAAAAAGATTGGAAGAAGAGGAGCAAACGACGAGAATCGAAGGTACCTAGAAGAATGGAGTGTGTAAAAAGTTGACACCTTTGTGGAGTAGTTCAAAAACTTCTTTGTGCAGAAAAAGTATTCAAACATTTTTCCGTTTGTATGATTTGCGTGTGCAATTTGCTGATTTTTTTCTTTCCTTTCTTTTGTGGTGATATTGACTTCCTATGAACTCTTGAGATGTCAATTATGCACTCATCATTAACCTCTTAGGATGAACCGAAGTATTAATAGTCTTGAGACTGCATAAGATCTGTTTAGAACATTGACTCAAACAAGTCTGGTTCCCTGTTTAGTTAACATTGAATTTAAATATCCTTCGATCATTTTTTTTAATTTTCTAAAATGTTAGCATGAGTTGTGCTATATATTTATGTCTGTTAAATCATCCCACCTCGGGGGAAAATAAAATATGTACACCAATGCATAAAATTTCAAGCCTCTACATGGATGTGATGCGGTGATCCCAAATCTTAATAATGTTTCTCACTTTCTTGTAATAGTTGTGATCTTTTGTCATTTTGCAATAAATCATTCACAGGGAAGGTGTATAAGGATATGGTTGGAAGTGCTTACTATGTGGCTCCTGAAGTCTTAAAAAGGAGGTATGGGAAAGAAGCTGATGTTTGGAGTGCAGGTGTTATATTGTATATACTACTCAGTGGTGTTCCTCCTTTCTGGGACGGTAAAATGCACATTTTAAACAGCCTCATCTTGTTCATAGGAACCACATAAATTTACTTGATTGTATTTATGACTTATTACGGTTCTTTAGTAAATGTTTTTTGCAGAAACTGAGCGGGGGATTTTTGATGCCATACGTAAAGGAGAACTGGACTTTGAAACAAAACCATGGCCTTCCATATCAAGTAGTGCCAAGGATTTGGTACAAGGGATGCTAACACGTGATCCACAAAGACGCCTTACTGCTACTCAGGTGCTGGGTATGTTTCCTATTGTGTAGGAGCTTCATTTAGATAGGAACTCCATTGTAGGGAATCATGTCATATGCACACATTTAGAATCAGTATTCATGGGAGTTCTCAATTCTTGAAATTTAATGCATTACAGGCCTCTATTATAATGTGGGACTGTGGGCGTGTGTTTTGTTTAATTCCTGTGGGTGAATTCTTGTTTATTCCAAACGTAATTATCAGTATTTCACTTTCATCAAATGAATGCATAAGAGACCAGAGAGTAATTACTATAAAAAGGAAAACGATTTTACTGTCTAGCTCATTGTTGTCACCCTATTTTTCTAGCAGAAATTAATGAATATGACCTTTAATATGAAATTGCTGTGAACAATTACTTCATATGTTTGGTGCTATATCAGAAATTGCAATGGAAAATGAAAAATGCCTGCTTTATAAGATGTTTTTTAAATACTAGATTTATAAGTTTTTATGTTGCAAAACAAACTAAAATGAATTTGAACAAATATCTAATACAAATTTATTGATTTCGAGTCAATCTACTGGTTTGTGAGTACATGTGTTTTGTTTTGAATTCAATTTTGGTTGCCTGATATTTGCTTAGTTGTATACTACGTAGGATTGTTTTCCCTTTTGTCTTAAAGCCTTATGTTGTACTTATTGGATTGGATGAAACTATGACTTTGGAGAGAGCGAAGTGAAGGGAGAAGGTAGAGGATGATCTCTTTGAATCCTTTACCTTTGATTTCGTATGTCGGTTCGTGTTAGCCGACCCCAAACTCTTCTAGGATTAAGGCTTGGATGTTGTTGTCTTAAAAACCCTATGTTATGGAAATGTGACAGAGCATCCATGGATGAGAGAAGGCGGAGAAGCATCTGATGAACCAATAGATAACGCTGTCCTCTCAAGAATGAAGCAATTCAGAGCTATGAACAAACTGAAAAAACTTGCCCTCAAGGTAAACCTTAAAAGCAGTGAACTTCTTTTTTCTCCTAAATGCTTTGTACATATTATACAATTTCTGGTCCTACTCAAAGGCATCCATCTATCACTCACTGTGGTAAATGAATGATATGCACTATGCAGAGACAGATTAGTTTCTTCCCATTTTATCTAATTGGTGAGTACTCAGCTATAACTTGGTGAGTACTTGCTACTCGGGTTATGAAACTTGAAAATAAAGTGGGACACTATGGGATTTAAAAATAACTAACTGGAGACTATTTAAAAAAATGAAAAAGTGATTACAATGTCTAGGCTTTTGGAAGTATTATGATTTTGCAGAGATAACAATTCCAGTGGGAGCTCCTTTTTCCATGTTCTTCTTCATCTTCTCCTTCACCTCCCAATTATTCTTCGACCTCTAAAATTTTAAGGGAAAAATAATTAAAATACCCCAAACTTTGAAGGGGTGTGACATAAACACCCCAAACTTTCATATGTAATTAAAATACCCCAAACTTTACATAAAAAGTCATTTTAGCACCATGATCATGTATTATTTATTTCAAAATTTTAAATTTGTGGTGTTGATTGCATAATTTAAAATAGCAAATTGGAAAGGTTTCAATTATATAGAGTGGGGGTGATACTATTTATTTTATAATTAAAGTTTAGAATGTTAATTGTATCTACATGAATGCTTAACTATTTTAAATTATGAAATTAACACAAAAAATGAACATTTTTGAAAAAAATAATACAAGATGGTGCTAAAATAACTTTTTATATTAAGTTTGGGGTATTTAGACTACATATTCAAGTTGGTGCTTACCTCACACCCTTTCAAAGTTTGGGGTATTTTATTTATTTTTCCCAAATTTTAATTGTGTTTTTCTATTTTATATAGCTATATATAATAGGCAGTAACGAATTCTTTTTGGGCTTCTAATGTCAGTGTATCTCAATCTGCAAATAGTACGTGTAAGAGGAAATCAGATCATATAGCTTTAAAATTTATAGATAATTGATCTTCACAAAAAGTTTATGATTTATCATTTATGCTTTTTAAAAATTAGTATTGCTATATTTTATATATAAGATTTTTAGCCTAATATTTTAGTATTTTATAGTATTTTGTGGCATATATATTTGCATTTTATAATATATATACTACGTATTTGTATATATGTTAATAAATATATTTGTATTTATAATTGTATATATCTGTATTTTATTAATAATTTAATATGTATTTGTATTTTATTAACACTGGACCGAGTAGTCACCAAGTAATCTCAAGTTCTTGACCCGACCATGTAGCCAGCCACCAAGTAGCAATTAAGTTACTTTGGGTTCTTCAATGCTTTTTGTATTTGCTGTACTAAAATTGTCTTTTATCACGTGCTCAAATGAAACTACCTGCAAGTGCCCCTGCTGTTATTGTTGTGTAAAGGGGGATCTACTTAAAATTTCTTCTACTCCTTAGATAACAGAAGTACAGAATTATTTAGAAGTTCCCCAAATTGCTCCTATAAGCAGTTTTTTAAAAGCTGAGATATGAAAAGCTGATTCTAATTCTACTTTTGCTTTTAAAGAGAAGCAGAAGTAGAATCAATTTCAAATACCCAAAAACTACCTTGTATGTGCTATAAAAATCCAAAACTCCAAAATCTACTTGGTATGTCCCAAAAAATCCAAGACTAGGAGTTAGGTTCCCATTGCATATCTTCTTTTTTTTACTCAAACAGTCCCCTTATCCCAGTATCTCCCTGAACTCCTTTTGGATCCATTAGCTTATTTTCGCTGATAAGACCCTTTAGAAACATTGTTCTGCGTACTTTGCCTATCAGGGGAATAAGAACCCATTTGGTAGAAAATTTTGGCTTATGTATGTGACAAATAAGACCCAATGTTTGAGGCCTGTTGGGTATGTCCTGTAATCTATGTGCTCTGGGCTTTGCACTAACTGAAGCAATTTTTGGATTACAGGTGATAGCAGAAAATCTCTCAGAAGAAGAAATTCACGGACTCAAAGCTATGTTCATGAATATGGACACGGACAGCAGCGGTACAATTACATATGATGAACTGAAGACCGGATTAGCTCAGCTTGGGTCAAAGCTCACGGAGGATGAAGCCAAGCAGTTGGTTGAAGCTGTAAGATATGAATATACATACCGTGAGAGACTACTCAAAATTTCTGGTTTAAAATGATTTGATAATCTTCACGGCAAGTATTTTTTACTTTTGTATATTTGCAGGCCGATGTTGACGGAAACGGCTCCATAGACTACAGTGAGTTCATCACTGCAACAATGCACAAGCACAGGCTAGAAAGGGAAGAAAATATGTACAAAGCATTTCAGTATTTCGATACAGACAGTAGTGGGTACGATATGCTAAGCTTAGAACTATGATAATACTACTCCATCCCATCCCAGTGAGATTGGGAGTGATGTGATTATTAAGACACACAAATTTATCAAATTTAGTGCGAAATAAACTTAGTCAAAAGGATGATAAGGGAAATATGAGACAAAGATGAGACTTTGGGAATAATAATAGATTAATGGAAAATGATCTCAAATACCATGAAGTTTGGCCAAATTTTCCAATATATCCTTAAGTTCCAAATTTTGCAATATAACTCTTAAATACTGCCTAACGTTTTTGTTTCAAATATACCCCCCTTCTTCACAACAGACGTGCTGCATCTGACTTGGTATGTTGATGTGGCATCATTTAGTTATGTGACTGCCAATGTGGCTAACGGTCCATTTATCAAGGTTGTCAGCATAGCTAGGCACTAAACATAAAGCAGTGCAAAATGATGCTACACCTGCTTAACATTGGGATAGTTAGCCACTGTCTGCGTAACCAACAACGTTATATCCGGATGCCATATCAGAAGAATCATGTGTCTTATGGGTGGCAATTGGATATATATAGATATAAGATAAAAGTTATATGTAGTATTACTTATATATTTACAAATTTCATCGAAGTTCATATTACACAGTATATGGTAATTTTCTTGAGATTTTTCCCACAAGTCTTTTGATTATTGTGACAATGACATTTTCCTAATGAGGATACTTTGTTCCTCTAATTAATACTACGTACGACACTAACACACTCTTGTTCCTCTCATCAATATGGCATTGACACTTGTCTTTCAACTTTTTTCCCCAACTTTGGTTGGAGTGGAATAGAAGACAGAGTGTAATGGTCAAAATATGCAGAGGAATAAAAGTGGACACTTTCTTGTCAATAGTGTTTATCACAATAGTTAGAGGATTAAATATCAAAAAGTTTAAAGATGAGTACAAAAAGTATCATTATTACAAAGTGTGAAGATTAAAAGTGAATTAAAAAACTCTTCCCTAATACTTCCTCCACCCCGAAGGCCCGAAATCAAGTTCCTGATTTGACTTTCAGATTTGTACATAGGATTAAAAATAAAATTGACTTTCCAAAATTGCACTTTAAAAGATGTAGTAGCCAACAACAAAGGGTGAGTGGGGTAAAGGAATCATTACTAATCACATCATAACATCACGCGCTACTGGTACAACACAAACACTCCTTTACAAATGAGCTAAATTTTGAAGTTCCCTCACAAAATAATTCAGATTCCCTCCCTTTTTACAAATCTTACCCCTTTTCTAGAGTTTTTGCCACTTTTAGTTCCCCATTATTATGTCTAACATTTTTTGTTCCTGGTTTTCAATTTCTCCATTTTAGTCCTACTATTGTGTGAGAGATGTCTTTTTCGATGTATCAAAAAAAATGTGCGGGAGACAGGTTAAGCCCTTACTTCAAAATTCTCCATATTTAGTTCTTGAGTATTGTCAGTAAGTATTGGCGGTGAATTTTGTATAGCGGTAAAGTAATATCTATCCACTACAATTTTGACTCAATAAGTAGATGGAGGACTATAAAAGTCACTAAGATAATAGTTGAAGGACCAAAAGAGTCACTTTTAAGAAAGTCAAACGACTAAAATATACAAAATTTCAATTCGGAATGGATTGAGTATTATATAATCATTTTAATTCCAACAATGAGTTTGAGTTGTTTTATATGAGAAACTTTTTTTACTATCATTATAGATTTATCACAAGAGATGAACTAGAGACGGCTATGAAGGAACATGGAATAGCGGATGAAGAGTGTATACAGGAAATAATTTCCGAAGTAGACACCGATCATGTATGTGATCACCTCTTCATGATTCAAAACTTTATGAACAAATGTAAAATATAACATGCTAATTTCTCTTCTTAAATGTCCAGGATGGAAGAATTAACTATGAAGAGTTTTGCACAATGATGAGATCAGGAACCAAACAGCAAGGCAAGCTCTTCTAACAGCATAATCCTGCAATTTCGTGAAGCCATCAAATGCATTTCTGATCAAGCAACCAAACGACCTCTAACATCTGCTTTATGTTTAATTTCAACACATCTTTTTGATGTAGATTTCGACTCTCTTTCAGCTATGTTTATGGAGTCTTACATCATGCTATTATAAAACACACACACACACACACAGAGTGAGATCCTTTCTCCCTAAAGCTTTAATAAAATTTACTAAATGATTAAATCATGTGAGACTGGCCATATTAAGATCTCCATTGTTGTTAAGATCAATGCTTAATCTCGATTACTTTCTTCTTACGCACTGCATTTGCCTTTCCACTTAAGTTTTGGAAATTTTGACTTTGCAATGCATAGGTTTTCTAAATGTCTTAATTTATTTTGACTTCCATGGTTTATTCTCTGAGATAATGCACCATGGTGCCACCCCCCAAAGTAAGTTATTTCCCTTTATTTTTTGTATGTAATTGTTTGCCTTTAATTTGGCTTTGCATTGACTTGTGCTAGAGGTAGGGCTGCTCATTAGAAAATATGATCATCTCTTAGGGTATCATATTATTTAAAAACTGCACATTTATTTTCATTATTATACTATATTAATATTTTGAGTTATAATTTTTTGGTAATCATTAAAATGCCAATTGCATTTCTTACCGTAAAAATCAAGATTAGTTCTTATCTTTCACTTATGAAGCACTGTATATGTATATGCATGTATTCGTATATATAGAGGACTGCTCAGGTCCAGCCGGAGGGACGGGAGCAGCCGTCCGAACTTCACTGTTTGGGGTGGTTCCCGGTGGAATTTTTCGATGAAATTTTTTGAGCATGTTCCTCATCAAGTCTAGTTTGTCCATACCAAATTTCAGCTCAAAATTCGACCGGGAAGGCAGTCAAATAAATTCTTGAAACTTACTGCACTTTATATATGCGCAGAATGTGCAGTAAGCTTCAAGAATTTATTTGACTGCCTTCCCGGTCGAATTTTGAGCTGAAATTTGGTATGGAGAAACTAGACTTGAGGAACATGCTCAAAAAATTTCATCGAAAAATTCCACTGGTAACCGCCCCAAACAGTGAAGTTCGGACGGTTGCTCCCGTCCCTCCGGCTGGACCTGAGTATTTGTGTGTGTGTGTGTGTGTGTGTGTGTGTATATATACATATTTATATATAAAGCAATAAAAATGCTTTGAACATGAACTCAAGTTCCCAATATTTATATGTTTACACAATTACACTAGTAAAATTACTTCTATTAAAGATTTATAACTTAAAGAGATTGCTTCACAAATGAATTCTATTAACATATTTCACTTGTTTCGGTGATACTGCACATTGTGGCCAAAATAGTTAGGAAATTTATCACAAATAGCCAAAAAAAATATCAGTTTTGTCGTTGCTCGGGTATCTTTTCAAAAAGGGAGTTGCTTCCCGCACCCCCAAAAGTGCTTAATGTAACTCTCTTAAGACATATTTGCCCTTTTTTATTTCTTAATAACATAGCACTACTGCCACTACGTAGTAAACATGAGAATCGTAAAGGCCATGTTCTATATGTTCTCGAACATTCTTTTAAATGCGTAATGTTTTAAGAAAATTACTAAATGAACTTTAAATTGTGTGTTATTATTAGATAAGTTATTAAAAAAAAGTTATTATTTACTCCTATTTGCCTCATTCCTGCTTTTGATGTTCTATGAAAAAATGACATGTATATTACTAACAAAATATTACATGACAAAAATATGATCAGTTATATTTTTGGACAAAAATATGACTAATCATTGATAGATGATGAGTCACTGGAAACTAGTCACTAAATATGTCACATTTTTGAAAAATTTTAAAATATGTAATAGTTTTGATTTTTCAATTTAACTAGTCATTATCTAAGTAGGAACCTAGTCTGATTTGGTATGCAATTGAAATTAGTCTAAAAAGTATTTCATTCACAATACAAGATTAAGAGCCCGTATGGTAGCACAAAAATCGGTTGATTTGGCTGATTCTGCTAGAATTTATGAAGTCCTGGCTGAAGTGCCTGAATTAGCTGATTCTGGCGATTTAAGAAAAAATTATTTTTAAAATATATTTTATTAGTAAATTAAAGAAAAAATTATATGTAAAATAGTTAAAATGATCATCTACAGTAACTTCAGTCAATACAGTAAAAAAAATTACTTTAACCTTACTTTTTTGCGCTTATTACACAATTCAGCGCGCGAAAACAAAAGTTACGTGTTTGGTGAAAAAGTTAGTTGCTAAGTGCCTAAGTCTAATAAGCCAAAAAACAGTGTTGCCAAACGCACTCTAAACATGACTTGTTTATATCAATTTATTTTTTATATTTAAAAGCATAGATAAATTAAAAAAATATTACTGTAACATTTTAATTCTAAATTATAAAATAACTTAGGTGAAACTAACTACTACGTAATTAATGTCAGATAATCAAAATAAAGAAACACAATATAAATTTTGTAGGAAAAGAATTATAAAGTGGAACAACTGAAAAGAGAAATAAACATGACCTCTGCTTAGAAGTAGCGGATCAAAAAATTAAAGCAGGGACAAAATTGTAAGACAACGGTGCAAATTGGGTGCGCCAAGCAGAAACGGGGGTGCGCGTAGCACGACCGTTTCAAAAATAGATTTCGCTGAACTTTTCTTTCACAATAGAACGCCCAATCCAGCGAACCCGTTTACTTCGGCGACTCGCAAGGACGCAAGGTCGCAGTCCTAGTTGGCCAGAGTCGCAGTTCGCAGTCGGTCGTTCTCTACGCCGCCACAGCCCCAAACGCCGTAGCCGCGCGCCGCCCCTTATGCGTGGCAGTGTGCTTCTCTCAATTTCACTTCTCACTTTGTTGCAATTCTGTCTGAGCAGCTGCCTTCTGTATCTCCGTTATCGGCTTAATCCCTAAGCATCACAATTTTTCTTCTTGATAATTGGATTTGAAGAACAAATAAAAAAAAGTTAAAAGGTGTCAAAGTATTGTTTTCTGCTTTTAGGTGATGATGAAGATGCTTAAAGCAAATGCAGGTGCACTCACCAATTTTGAGGTGCTTGAGTTTCTAAGATCAAGAGGAACGGGAAAGGGTGTTGCACGTGTCATGATCCCAATTTTGGCATATGGGTTTAAGGTTTTTGATTATTTAGAACAAATTGCTACAGTAATTAGACTAGAGAAATTATTAATCAATTTGTAGAAAAATGATGCGCTTTAATACATCAAAAGCTGAAATTTTGAACATCATCAATGTTAGATCATGTACTCTATCTCAAATTTACTCGATAATAGAGGAATATGATGTTCGTTGTTCGAGAAGTGAGGAAACTGATTATGAGGAAGAGAGTGAAGCACCGTAGATGACACTGGTCGAGACAATACAACATGTTTTGCCTGCCCCTCCTTTGCCAATGTAGCAAGCTAATGGGAAAGTTGACGAAAAAGTTGATGGAGAGATGGAACCATCTGCTTATGAAGATAGAGTCATTGGGGGTAATGAATAATAATGCACTTTACCCAAGAAATTTGTAGGTGTTATGTGACCAGTTTTCGGTTGGATTGATTAAGATAATACAACCATGTCACTGTGTAAGCGGTAAAATTTTGCAGTTCATCAAGATGTTAGATATGCAAGTCTTATACTCTGTACTAAATTTTTAATTGTTATATTACTATAATTTTATTTTTAGTTTTTGTTGCATATGGTTTCTTTGTGTTTCTTTTTGTTTCCATTTCTGAATTTTTTGTTTTTATTGTTTCTTTACGTTTCTAGTTTTTTTTTTCAAATTTATAAACAAAATTTAACATTTTTAGTGCTTGTATCTAAATCCATCTAGATATTTCTACTTTATGTACAAAAATGAATAGAAATCTAAATAAACAGCAAAATTCTAAACAATAATAAGAAACACAGTGCAACAAAAAGTAACATAATGCAACAATTAGCAACACGATGCAACAAAAAGCAACATATACAATGCAACAAAAAGAAACAAAAACAACATTTAAAAGTATTACAATAAATATGTAATTCAATCTATTGTTTTAATTTATTACATATATATCTATCATATTATTTAGCGTTGTTCTATAATTCCTTCAGGTCTTTGACTCGATCTTAATCTTCATTTTCCTGAGTGATCCTCATTTCAATCTTAGTATCGTCATCTTCACCGTGTACTTTTGTTGGTATTGGCCCGACATTCTTATAAGCCCAATTGCAATTGAGGAGGTTTCCAGCCCAAATACCCTTGGTTTTTCCCGACCCATTCTTTTCCCCTCTCGGCTCTCTACTCGCGATTCTTTCCTCCCTTTCTCGGCTTCAATGCGTATCTCTGGTTATGGTAATTAAGCTTTCCTTGTATGGCGTCCGAGCTTGGCCTATTTATACCCTTCCTTGCCTTCGTTTTGGAGCTGGCCGAAACCCTACCTCCCAAATATCTCCTCAGTGGAACCCTTTTTTGCAGTTGGCCGGAATTGTCTTGAAGGTTGTTGCCCATAACCTCCATCTTTAGGCTTTAGTGGTAGTTATCATCCTTTGTGGATGAAATTGGAGACCTGAGCTGGAAGAGAAGCCTTCTTACAGTGGTATCAGAGCAAGCCGCCGCCCGCCGCCGTCTCGCCGCCGCCCGCCGCCGTCAGACGTCCAGCCGCCGTCGCCTGGAGTTGCTGCACCATCCAGACCTTCTGCCAGGAGCCATCCAGCCGTCCAGAAGCTTCAGGCAGTCCACAGAAGTTCTGCCAGTCGCAGTCCAGAGTTCTGCCGCCTGCCGGGGAGTGCTGCCGCCTGTCCAGTCCGCTTCCACCGGCTCTACAGCAGCCCACGCTGCCTACGGTAAGTCGGGTAACCCAACCTCGGGCCCCGCTCAGGTAAATTGGCTTTAACATCCTTGGTGTACCGGAGTGCCACCGGATTTATTTCCCCCCCGCTCCCCCGCTGCTGACCTGCGTGGTCTAGGATGCCGGCTGTGCCCGGCCCCAGGTACGTTTACTAATCCTTTGTGTGATTATTATTCGTAGTTCATTCATTTTTTAATTTCAAGTTGAATTGCAATTACTTTGTTGTTTGAATTGTGATTACTTGTTTGTTGTTTCGTGGATTAATTTTTCCGGTGAAGAATATTTTGTTTGGATATTCGTTGTCCAAAGTTGTGAATATTTCTTCCGGTTTAAATTTAATCACTTGTTGGATTTTTTATTTTGATTTTTTCTGTTAATTGATTCGTGGATAAACTCTCCGGTTAAGAATATTTGTTTGGATACTTGTTGTCCGAAGTTGGGAATATTTCTGTCCGGATTAGTTTTAA